ACTTAAGAACGACAAGTGTATCCTTAATGTCTTCTTCGGGGTGTCTTAATGTTATGTTTGTATTTCAGTTATAACTTGGAATCAGAAAATGATTTCAAATGATGCTCCAAATTTGAAGTACATAGATAATTTCACCTTTATTTTTGCTATTTTTTGGATTTGTGCTCTTGGAAAAGGAAAAAAAAAAATGTGGGATAGCAAAAAGTAAACCGCTACAATAATAGCTGCTATATGCTGCAGGGACCAGTCGAGTTTCCTCACCTAACTAATGCTTAACAATAAAATGGTTTTCACCTGTAGATCCTACTGCAACTTCAGAGATTCCTGAAGCTCAAAGATCTCTTTCTAACCAAAGTCAACTTCTACATTATTATGTCCATCAGAAAACCAAACTAAAGGCCAAATTCAGTTCTCAGGAACAGGAGAAACACTGAGCGCTGTGACAGCTCAAAAAGTGATCATAATAATAAAATTGAAGATATTATTTATAAATGTCATATATAATTAATAGAATATTTTATACAAACAAATGACTTTGGCCCTACTTACATTGGAGGATAAATTTTGAAAAGTGGTTATATCCTCTGCAGCACTGTTTACTATTGAACAATGGTATAAAACAAGATTTGGTATTTTACCATATTTACTTTAATCCACTGGTTACAGCTTTCCGGAGACAAATTATTTTTAAAATTACACTAAAACAAACCTCTACGTAATTTTTTAATGTAAATAATTGCAAAGTATGTTAGTCTTTTCCACACACGACAAGTACTCTTAAACAATTAGATTAAATGTCTACTTGGCAAAGGCTAGAAGAGCATCTTTATAGTATATCTAAGGGGGACTCAAAAATTCCATAAATCATAACTATGATAGTAACAAAGAATTTACTTATTTCTGTATAATAACAAAAGATAAATGTCACTTTCACAGAGAAGCCATCACAGTAAAACCAAGTCTACGTATGCTGTCATTAATTTCCCAAAACTTCAACAAATGGTAAATAAGGATGATAAATGAGTACACAAGACTCAGAATTAGTTATCAATGGTATTAGCAGTTATCATCAGCAAAAGAGGGAGAAAAAGAAACCTATTACCTGAAAGCTTGACCTAGCAAGGATGAACAACAAAATACGAGCCCATAAAACTTGCCTGTTTTTATCAAATTGATTGTAACTTGTGAGCTGCAATATTTGGGACAGAACTGTCTGAGTTTATAGTTTTCTCTGCCTGCTAAAAACAGATGCAGACTACCACACTAGCTGTCCTGCGGAAACTAAATTAAGGAAAGGCAAATACCAAGTGGAAAGTTGTCAGCCTGTTGAATGAATGGCTTCATTTTACACACTAGAGAAATCTTAATAAGAATATGTTTTAATGTAAGCCAGTCATTTTATTTTAAGTTCATCACTTATTACAAAAATAATCATTCCTTTAAATCAATTATAGACACCTGCCCCTAACTTTCTTAAAGTCTATTTTGTTTTACACACAATAGCACAGTGTTGTTACATTATCGTTGCTATCAAAAGAAGAACTGAAGTTAAAATATAATTATTTTAAAATATTTGTGTTATGAAAAACATTTAAGGGTCAGTTATCAGTATTTATTCCAATTTCAAATTTGAAATAAAGTTCCAGTTCAAAAACAATTTGCTGCAAGTCCTCTGAAAACTTTCAGTAATGTTTATTTACAACAAAGAAGGTAAGACAAGAGTTTATAAAAAACATATACTCTTTGGTTGCTTTCTTCATAAAAATGTACAGATCATTAATCACATATTGTAGGTTGTATATCTGTACACACATACACATATACATCTAATAATAGTAGTGATAATAGTACCGTCACTGAAATACTTAACCGTAAAAGCTGCTTTTCTACAGATGCATCCATTTCCCTGTTTTAAAGGTTTTCCTTATGAATAAAGATTTCCGTATAGGAAGAGACCTATATGATGTAAATCAGAATAAACTCAGGAGTGGTAGGTGACTTAAACAATACTGAAAATACGGTAGTAGTATGTGTAACTCATTTAGGATTAGCACACTGATTCGGATCCTAAACTGGTTTTCATACACGTATGCAGAAAATGTTATAAAATCATTTAAAATATTAGTCATTGAAATGCTACGTTCTAAATTCAGTTGAGACTTCACAGCTATTATGACACTTTTCTCCTTACCTTCAATGTTATCTTTAATAGACAAAGGACAAAACCTAAATAGTAGCACAGACCCTCACAGCATCTAGAATTCAAAGGAGTGACAAGCATTGTGTTAATAACTTGCTACTTTCCACCACTTATTTGAAAAGTGTTAGACTAGCTATTATGTATGTAAAAGCAGTATACACATATATATCCTAACATATAACATACATAGCAGGAAGCCATAAACATCAGCTCACCGGTGGTAAATAACACTTTGCCAACAGAGCACTGATGAAGCTTCAGAAGGCCTCACATTTAGAGAAATCAAGTTACAATGTTGGCATTAAGACTCTATTTCCCCCTCAGGAGTTTTATTTTCACATTATTAACATCCAGAAATAATCGTCAAACTTTAGGATGTTACTAGCTAGCCCTGTATATTAAATTGAATCTAGAGATGTTTTTATCCAAAGGTGTAGCTTTAAAAGGAAGTTATGAAATCCAAGGAGAGAGAAACTCTAAGAATATGTTTGACTTGTTAAGATTAAGCACATCATTAATAAACTTTCACTTAAAGGTAAAAAAAAAAAAAAAATCCTCAAAATGTTGGTATCATTTCCAGACTGTCCTGTCAGCATCATAACTTACAGGAAACGCTTCATCTTCCCATACAAACCCTGTATTTATTCACAACCCTGGCATACTTGGGGAAAGAGAAAAAAAAAGCCCACACGATTTTAGATTCTGTTTGCTTTTATACGTTAACTGGTGGAATATCTGAGAGAGCCTTCTAAGCAAATGAGCGGCATGTAAAACTTCACAACAGTGACTTCAGAAACTTTCATTCTCATTTTGTCCACGTCAAGAACTGGCTGCCCGCATGACTTTCCTTTGCTGTCCCTTGCATTTTTAACTCTGGCAGCCTTTCCTAAATGATCAACTTTTTCTAAAACCAGCAGGAAAGTAACATGATGCCAGCAAGATCCATAGGTTTTAGCTTCAGAGCTGGAGGACTTTGAAGAATTGTTGGAAGGTTCCTATTTTATTTTTGCTTTGAACAATCAAGTTTTAGCCAACAACCAGGCCCGGAGTTATCATTTCTTTGTAATTTTGTCTCAGGCCCTATCTCTATTTTTCTTTTGTACTTATTATCTCTCCCAGACCCTTTCCTGTTCACCTGGTGTGTTTACAAAAGTTCAGTGAATCTACAAAAGTTCAATGAATAGGCCTAACTTGTCTCAGATTTAACTTCTCCGCTGAGCTTCTCACTTACCTCGCTTAAACTCTAGCCGTGATTTTCCAAAATGGGATAAGAATGAATATTCTATCATAATTTAGATTCACCATTAAGATCCATGGCTTACTCAAAAAACTTTCAAAGCATCAAATATGAGGCCTAAAAAGATAGAGGGAAGTAAAGCCCGTCCTAAAATTTAATAAGTCCAAGATTCCCTCTGAAACCCACCAGTCCTTCTCACCCTCTAACTTAAATTGCTTTAGAGTCCTGGGGCCATAAAACAGTTACTGACTTCCCTGGGGAAGGGGGAAACAACACCATCTCAGACAGGTACTAACAAAAAAGCTTTCCCAGCCACAAAAACAGCTTTGCACTTCAAACAGCTCCCACCGCCGCCTCACCCTCAAATTATTCATGGGGTCCTATAATCCTGGAGTTATTTGGAGGGACAGCGATGTTTGCCTTGGCCTTTCAAAGATGCGTTTCTCTAGATCCCAAACAGGAACTAGACAGAAAGCAAAGCGTCTGTCCGCCTGGATGTCCCACCGCTGTCAGGCATTTAATCACCGGCCAGTGTCCCCTGACCCGCGCGACACATGGCGCATCAACCGCATCGCAGAGGAAGTCTGCCCCTTCCTCAGTCCCTAAGGAAGCGCCCGGGCTGCAAGGCCCTGCCACATGGTACGGACAGGGCACAGACCCCTCGGCCAAGCTGTCCTGAGCCGCTCTGAGGCGGGTGCACCAAGGGATGCGACACCCGCCTTCTCCAGAGCCCAGCTGGGCCTTTAAGGGAAAAAAGTTTGAAGCCTGTATTTGCAAACTCTTCAAAGCCAAAGGCAGTCCTGTGCTGTTTTCCCACTTCGGGGACCACACGGAGGTCCCTCTCTGAGACCCTCCCGACCCTCCCTAGTTCGCCCAACTTACTACTCTGCATGCTGGTGCCTAGTCTGCGCCCCGCTTGTCACGAGCCCCCAGAAAACTTGCAGTGGCGGCGGCGGCGGCGGCCCCTCGGGTCCAACCACCTCCAGCTCCTCCGCTGCGCCCGGTAGGAGAGAATTAAAATCAGCCAGAAAGAGACAGCGAGGGGGAGTGGGGCTGCGAGGGGGAGGGGGCACCGGCCTGAAACTTCTTTTTTTGGCAAATGGGGATTTGTTTTTCCTCCTCCCCGGCGGCTGAACTTGACCCTGCTGACTCCAGGGGCTACTGCAGTTTGAAGTCGCTGGTTTCCAAGGCTCAGATGCCTTAGACCCACCAAAAGGAGGAGAGGAAGGGGTGAAAAGGGAGCAGAAGAGAAGAAAGAAAGAAAGAAATCACACGCTCAAAAAGGAAGAAAGAAAATGCATGTGAAACCCGAGAAGCCTGCGCTTGGCTTTCTGCACACTCTCCCTCTGCCTTTTTTTTTTTTTTTTTTTTTTTTTTTTTTTTACAAAGAAAGTCACTTTTAATTCCCAGGGCTCCCCGCTCGCGATCGCCCACATTTTGCGCACACACGAGCGGGCGCTGCACTCGCGTCGCGGCGCCCCGGGCCCGGTCGAGGGGAGCCCGCGCCCCCCGCGCCCCCCGCGGCCCCCGGCCCCGCGGCCCGCCCGGGCCTCCCCTCCTTACCTGTTGATTAATCGTCAAGAACACCCTCGGCAGCCCGAAAGATGGTGGCGCGGCGGCCAAAGCCATGAACCGTCTTCTGTTGTTTGCAGAGTTGATCTTGGATTATTGCGGGGGGGAGAGAAAAAGGTCTTTCCTGCCTCCCCCCCTTTCACTCCCCCACCCTTATTTAAAAAAAGAGAGAGAGAGAGAGAGAGAGGGAGAGAGAGAGAGAGAAAGAGAGAGAGAAAGAGAAAGGAAATAGAGCAAGGATGTGCCCGGTGCCGGGTGGGAGAGGGGAGGGGGTGTTGTTTTTTGTTTAAAAAAAAAAAAAAAGAAAGAAAGAAATAGGAAGGCGAGAGAGCAATCGAGAGGACGCGAGGTCTGAAGAAACCAGCAGCACCAAAAAAGAGGACGCTAGAGATTGCAGTGAGATCGGGTCTTTATCAGAAATGTTATCGCTTGTCAGGACCTCAGTCTCCGCGCATTACGTCAGTTTCAAGACACCAACACTATTAATATCAAAGGAGCCTTCGCGGAGGAAAGCGCCACCCCAGACCGAGCTCCCTTAAAGAGACAGCGCGCGTCCCCGCGCCGCCGCCGCCGCCCCGCCCGGCTCCGAGCACCCGCCGCCGCCGCCCGCCGGGACCGGCCCCGGCCGCGGCGAGCCGGCTGCGCGAGAACTTCGCCCGAGTCGGAGCGCCGCAAATGAGAGCGGCGCGGTGCAGGGACCCGGCTACCTTCCCGCCCCGCCTCTCCCCCCTCCTCCCTCCCCCACCTCCCGTCTGTGAACGTGCGGGCTGGAAAAGGAGGAAAAATCCAAACGCGTTAGGAATAATGTGATAAAGACGAGGACTTACCTTGGGGGAGTGGGGGGCAGGTGGGGGGCAGTGCGTGGCCGCCAAACCGACGTTCCCCAGACACTCAGAGATGCTAACAGAAACAATCTAAAGAACTCTCAAAGTCCTTTTACCTTTTCTGTTGTTACTTTCCCTTCTGTCTCTCAATTAAACGACGCAGGATGTGTGTGTGCGTGTGCGCCCCCTCCCCCGCCCTTTATCTGTGGCAAGAAGTCTCAGGACACCTAGTTGGTGATCAGGATTCCCCATGCTTTTCATGGCAAGAAGGCTTGAGGAGAACAACTTGAACTCTATCCTGAGTTGGAGAAGTGCGGACTGAGGTTGCTATGGTTTTCTGAGCTAAAGAGAAGCCAGAAACTCAATGGGTGCTTCAAGGGGGTACCACAAAATAGACAAAATGGGAACATTATTCAAATGCTGCAAGATTAATACATGCAGTTTGGGGTTTTAGTAGCAGATAAGGAACTCTGAATTAAGCGTGACATTCTTTTTTACCTACTTTACATTACCATATACTCTCATTGTTAAGAGAAATTGTGTCAACATAAAGTTCAATGGATTGAGCTTTTTTTTTTCTTTTTCTTTTTTTTTTTTTTTTTTTTTGACTTCTAAAGATCAACAATGCATAAAACATTACCATGACAGGATTCAAAGTATAGTAGGTGTTAAAAACAAAGTAAACATTTATTGGGCGTTTGGACTTCATTTTCTTCAGTTGGGTGACTTTAAGTGGCATGTTTTTCCTCTGGTGAAAGTCAGTTTAAAGTAATTTTGTGCTAAAAGGAGAAACATCTTTCCTTTTCCAAACTACAAAATGATTAAAATTAGAATCTTAGAGAGGTACAATCACGAATCTGAGAGCCGAAGATGAAGTAATTTCCTCCAAAATATTTTTCACTAAATGATTCTTGCATCTTTTTAAAGAAAAGATAGGTATATTTTCCAAACATACTATTACCAGAAGTGAAAAAGCCAATCATACTAAAAAATTAAAACTGAAGTAGGTGCTTTTAGAACCTTACTCCTTTTTCTCTATGGTCTTTATTTAATATACTTAGTCAAGCAGATATGTGATTTTTTTTTGTAGCACATTTATTCCAGAAGTGTTTGGGTACCGTTTCCCATACACTCTTTATGAGTAGAAAAGCAATAATTCTTTTGCAATAGAGAAACTAGTCAGGTGAAAAAGTAGTCAAAATACAGTTTCACAATGAGGCAAACTATATATTCCCTAAAGGAGAGAGAAGACAATGAACCTCATATGCCTAGAGTTATTCATATGTTATCATCCATTTAAATTAATTTGGGAACAGAGTTAGATTTATATATAGTACTGCATGCCGGGAAAATTAATATCAAAATCTTCAGTAAATCTCATAGTCAGCTACTAATGACCACCTGCATATTTCCACACTGGAGTCATTTAATACTGTCCACCACCAATTTCCACTGTAAAAAGTATTCATATATTAAATATAGACCTTTTATTTTCTTTTTTTAAGCCATAAATTAACTTGCCGACTTTTATGGAAATATGCACGGCACAGTGAGAAGCATTTTTATTAAAGGAAAAAAATAAGGATCTGAGTGAAACATTCTTTAGCCATGACTAACTAAAAATATTAAATCAATTTTGAAATATGTATGCGAATAGTGAGACTGTATTTAAAGGGTTAATACAACCTAAAACTGCTGAAGCTGGTATCTAACTGATAAAATCTGAGGCTATAGCATCTTAGCAAAGTTAAATACTACAATTTATCACAAGGATTAGGCCCCTAATCTCCCTCTGCTCCCCAAGATTTAAATGACATTTTAAAAGGGGAAGTGATCTTCCTCTCCATCACCCACAAAACTAAGGCAATCATCAAGACTGTAAATTTATTCACATGAAACAATCATTGATTAAATTGGTTCAAAAAAAAAATGAAATTACATGCTTTTGCAAGCACAAAGCCCTTGAGATGGCTGGTGTTTTTCCACCTGTAATAATACAAAATTTGACCATTAAGTGTACCCAAAATTACATATTATATGAAAAGTTAAAGCCAAAGGTCTGAGGGTGAATTATGTCTTTTAATTGAAAGGATAAAGTTACACTTCAGGTACTGAAGCCAACAAATTCATGGTCACTTAAAAATTTAATGAATGAAGTTTCACGGATTCAATCTTGCTGAAGTTTGCCTGAGAAATGAAGACTCTCTTCATGTTACTTTTTGTATTTCAAGTTAAGTAGAGCAGATCAAACTGCTGTCTGTAGCAATTCATTTACATTAACCACAAAGGATCTGTAGAGAACTTAATAAAAGCACAAATATTTTTGTAAACTTTTTCAAGCAAATTACTTATTTATTTATGAAATAATTTATGAAGAAAATTTTTACCTCATGCTTTAGATATATTACATGTGCTCTTGATTGACACAATATGTTTAAGCTCAAAGGCCCTCATAGCATTTTTTAATTCTAGTAGGAATATTTCAAAACAACCAACTAATACATGAGGTCATAATTGTTTGACAGTTGTTTTTAATATATAAAATAAGTTACGTATATTGTTTTCCTTGAAATGTTTGTTGATTTGTTTTTCTAGTCCTGACATTTGCATGGCACAAACTGAATTTGGGGAAATATTAAAGATTTATTTACATTTAATGCCTTCTGCTGTCAAACATATGCAAAACTCTTAAAACCATTCTCTTATTTGCAACGCATTTCAGAACAATGGAGACTGGATGTTAAAAAGACAACCTGTGCTTTTATAGGACATGCCAGAAAATAAAGAAGATATTAAGAGAAAGAAAAAAGCAAACAAAAGAAGCACATTTTAATTAAAATAATTTCTTTATACTCTTTCCTAATTCTTTGAATTATGGAATCTTCTCTCATGACTATAGCACGGATGAAACAGTTCCTCAAGCTGTATTATTAATGCACATTATTTATCAAAATGACATAATATAATATACTTTTTCTGTTTTATTATTTAAACATTCTTTTCCCCCCTTTTCTTGTAGTTTATTCAACAGAGATACAAAGAGGGATTAGCAGTTAAGCACAAGCATACTTGTTTTACATTTTCAACCTTTTAGCACACTACTTACTTACAGTTCCAGTGCCTGTAATCACAATGATTTTACCTGATGGAACACGTATTTCAGAAATGTAATCCAACTGTTTACCCTAACACGTCATAAATTGCAATTCCTTTTAGAAACCTCAAAGATTGACAACCCTTGGTCCTAAATGCCGACTGCTTTAACACATACTATCAAGAAAACATTTATGTATTATTTGCTTTCAAGTTAGTCCTACCCCATGTGAAATGGAAGACCCTTTACCTTATCAAAAGCAATTGTTGAAATACTCTGCCTTCCTTCATGGTAAGACCTGAAGGAACAGAGGCGTTATCAGAGATGAACTACCTTAAGTTTATTTCTTCCCACAATCACTCGGCAATCAACATTTAAAAACATACTCTTCCACAGAAATGATGATAGTTTTCCAAACTACCTATTGCTGAGCACCTCTGGGTGAATTTATTAAAGAGAAATTCAGCTTTAAATAGCCTGTATCTGGTATTCAAATTCACACTTACACTTGCCAATCTTCCCCCTGCAATATCAGGCAATTGCCTAGTTAAACAGATGGGCCTCGCAGCCCACCCTAAAAGCCAACAAACATGGGCTTTATTTAATTAAAAAGGGAAACAAATTTCTGAGGTGTAGACACACACACACAGAGACATACACACACAATCTCTGACCGGGGTCAATCCCAGAATAAAAATATTGATTCTTGCTTTCTCGTTAGGTTTTATGAATGTCCAACCATATACTATCCACTGGATTGAAAGAACTAAATGAGACCATTCAGTGCTGCATACTCAAACCAAATCTCTTTGGGAAAGAGCTGAACTCATTTCCTTTCTCTCAAGTAAGAGAGAACATTTACATCTGAATTAACCCAGATTCAACTCTTCTCCATCTGACATAGAAGAGTAGGTGTTTTCCAATTTTCTTCCTATTTCTACCCCCTGCTCCGTTATCCTCTGCTGCTTTGCACTCTTATCCCACCCACTACTCCATACTTATGCAATAAACTCTCAGTTGTACATAACCAAACTCAACACCTGACTTTGTCTAAATTTCAGACTAAAATATTCCACTAGAAACTCAAATTTAATATGTCCCATATCATCATTAAGAAAGAGGAGACTATAAAGACAGACAATATCGAAGGAGGAAGGAAATCGACAAACCTTATCTGTGTTCAAGGCGTGAGTCATCCAGACCAGAAACCTTAGGATTTTGACATCTTTGGCAATACCTTCTCCCACAGGTCACACATCCAATCATTTACTAGTCCTCTAGTGCTTCTTTTTAAAAGGCGTTTGTACCTGTTACCTCCTTTCTTTTCATCCACACGGATCCTTCTCAAATCCAAAAGTTAAAATCTTTCTCAAGACATGCAGTTGAATGTGTTATCCCTACTCTAAGCCCTCATGACCTTATGACAAAAATCTCATAACTCTCAACTGCCAGAAGAACGACCCCAAAAAACTTCAAGTTCTTTCACAACCTAGTCCAAAATGGCTTTCTGACCTCATTCTTCACTCAACTCTTCCACACAGACCATTCTCGACCATTGATTGACTCACCGTTCCCCAGATACAGCTAACATTTCAGAATGTCTTGGCTT